TCAACGATTGTAACTATTTTTCAACGTTGATTTAACATCATGTGCTATCTGGGTATGCCCTTCGAAATGATAGCTTTCCTCTTTAGGTCTCTTATTTACTTCAGTCAAAACTTAACTGTCTGGTTTTCCAGGCTGGAATTAAAGCTGTTTATGACGGCTCTGTAAGCTCATTGCAGGCAACAAAATATAAAGCAAATGTTCTTCTAAATTATCTCATCCACAATATGCACAGACTCCACCATGCAATATGATGTCAGCTCATGCACAGGAGCAGCAGCTAAAACACTTAAACTGTTTCATGCTGTCAATTTACATGCAAATCCAGATTTTTTAAAACGTTTAGGGACTGTAAGCTGAACTCCCCTGCAATTATCAGTCTGTCGGAGAAAATGAACAAACGTCAGAGCGAATAGAAAGTTGCAATCTGTGAAACAGACATACTGTGTATAGGTTATTGTAACTGGCACGCTATCTATATATGACCAACCCAAAAATTGGAAGCACACAAACACTCCACTGAATCTGTTCCACTTCCTGATTCTGGGTCTTGTGTGCTACATCAAAGTAAAAATCTCCTCTGCCCCCTTTTGTCCCTTTTTGACATGGACATTAGAGCATCTGAGACGTGTCCCTCACTTTGTCACCTCCTTTCTGTGGTGTGTAGGAGATCAGAAAGAAGCCGACAGGGGTGAGGGGGAGAAAGGAGAGCGACGTGGAGTGGCAAATCTGCAGGGACATGAATGGCTTGCAGGTGTTTTTTTCTTCTTTTTTTCTTCTTTCGGAGTGACAGAGTGGAGAAATGTGGAGCGCCGGTTCTGCCTCCACTCCATGCTGTGATTATGTTTCATGGCAGGCTGTTCGTTAAACTGAAGTGAGAGCCTCTAAAGACGGGCTACTAGAAAAAACAGATCATTCAGGCCCAACATAAGTGCTTTTACCTCGGTGCGTCTAAAAACAGAGTTTATGAGAAAAAGACAAAGATCTGAGATCAGAACCAGGGGAAAATCTAACTTGTTTTTAAATAGTTGTTTCTCAGCTGCACTATAAAAAGTGTATTTGTGTTCTTGTTCATGTTGTGGATTAATCTCACTTTATTCTTTTGGTTTAATGATGACAACTTACTTTTTTGTGTTGGATTAATGAAAAAGTCACACATTTTACTTTGATTTTACTTGAAACAATGAAGTTCAACGTTGCGTTCGTATCCATGAAGCAAGCTTCACCAGGGACAGATCCGATACTAACCAGGGCGCTGTGGTGGCGCAGAGGTAGAGCACAACCCACATGAGGAGACATTATTCTGTTGCAGGTTCAATTCCTGGCACTTTCCTGTCTAACTACTCTCAAATAAAGTCCGTCTAAAATCCTGGTAAAAACGAGATTTTATTAGATTCCTTCTTATTTGAAGTAAACTCAATGATTTGAGTAAGAGTAACTTAAAATTATCACTGCTAAACACACTTAATGCATTAATTTATAAAAACTTAATTGAGTTGGATGTCACGATATATATTGAGTTGGTCAGACGTAGGATACGAACCCAGCATTGAAAGTAAAAAGTTCCTTTAACTTGAAGATTTAAGTTGAAATTTTTCAGTTAATTGAGCACAAAAAAGTAAGTTATCTCCAAACCAAAAGAATTAAGTGAGATTAATGTAAATAAGTCCATAAAAAGAACTACAGTCCAAATTAACTCTATTCTATACTATAGTGTTGCTAACTTCACTTTCAGGTAATGTTTGCACAGAGATAACATAGTTTGATGCAGACAGACAAATAAACCCTCTAAAACAAGTTTGCAAAAAGATTTTAATTGGCATCATTTTGATCATTCTTGGTTTAATTTACAGTTTATTCATTCTTGTCAAACGTAAACACATCTTGTGGTTGTCTTCAGTAAAAGTAAATGCTTTTGCCGGCATCTCGAGCCCCTTCCCTCCCTCCCGCACCCTTTAAACATAAACCAACATAGACTGAAAAGCGCATTCTCCCTCAGACACGCTTGCATATTCAGATCCTACAAATGACTCCGCTAGCGGGTACGAAATTTTCTAAATGCCACGTACTTTAAAAGCGCGGACAAACACGTTCCACCTAGATACATCCTCCCTTTCACTCCCACGCACGCAGACACACAGACATAGAAAAAAAAAAAAACACACACACACGCGTGCGAAAACACTCATACACATTCTGGAACCCTGCATGTATTTATAAATTTACATTACAGTGCAGGCTCAAACGACACCAGTTCTGTCTGTGCATTCCCAGTTGGTTTATGACATGCTTCTCAGCAATATTATCAGCTGCATCTTTTTGCACAAGAATCAGCTAACGGAGTGTATGCTTGCACTGAATCATTCACCAAGAACTGTCTGTGACCGGCTGAATTACATCTATTTGTCTAAACAAGCAAAATACTGCAGTACAAATCCAATAGTTTTGAGAAAAATGATAAAAAATGGTACGATAGCTTATTGAGCAAAGGCCTAAGAATGCACATTAATAAATTATGTAGATAAATACACTTTAATGTCAAAATAAGAGCATTTTAAAAGTAAATAAATAAAAACGCACAACATTGTAATTTGATTAAGGTTTGCCTACGCAGTATAAAAGAACTTCTCATAAGTTTCACATTCACACATTTTATTTTTCTTTTGATTTTTGTTTTTTTTTTTAATCAAGACGGTGCCACAATTAGCTTCAGAAACCGAAGAGCAGACGCTGCATTGGCCTCGATGTCACTACCACATCCGCCATATTGTGAGTTCTCCTTGGAAAGCAACAAAAGTTTGAGTTCGGGATGAAACACTAAAGTTTACAATTAAATCATTTTTGCATTTTTTTTTTTTTTTACTAGAAATAATGTTAATGAAGTGGAATCTGACAGAGAGTCTGTGGTCAGTTATGGGAAGGAGGTTTTCCAAACTTAAAGACTTGGAGCTCATAATCCATTTGTCAAAATACCATTGTAAAAAAGAAGGTTAACAATTTTAACAATGGTTTGTGGTTGCAGCAGGAGCAGCAGTAGGAGGCTGCATGGTGGAAAAGTTGATTTAACTGTTCCCTTAAAGCAAAAAGGTCCTGGGTTCAAATCCTGGTCTTGCACAGCTTCCGTTGCCCTGTGATGTATGGTGCAGTTTTAGTGCCAACATTAAGACCATTTCCCACCCAGTGGTGGTTACTCCCATCATCACAGGTGACCATATCCAGCTACTGGTCTGATTTATGATAGGCAGGCATCAGAAACCAAGCAATCAACTAGTTTTTTAGATAAAGTTTTCCTTAAAGAAAAAAAAGTACGAGACGCAGGAGACCATCCTAGGTATACTAGTCACAAGCCTATTCAAAGCTAGCTTAAGTGAGAAGTCTCCTTCTCTACTGGCACTGGCCTCTCGGTTACCATGCCGACCTATCAAGAATCAGATCAGTAGTTGGCTTTGGGGTAGAGATAACCTCCTGTGACAAGGACGTAGTCACCACTGGCTGTGTAATAGTTCTAATTATGGCACTACAGCCATGCCATAGTGATGGACTGGAGTAACCCACCGCTTGCCCAGTTCCTACTGGAGATGGCAGCAACCCCCCGCCCAGCGATAAGGATAAGAAGGTATAGAAAATGGAAAATTAGTGCCATATTTTCTGGACTAAAAGGAGCACTTAAAAGCCTTTAAATTTATTTTAAAAATCAACTGTGCACCTATCAATCCTAAGGGTCTTGTATACATTGTGCTGGAGTAAAACAGCGCCCTCTAGTGAATTAGTATGGATTAATTCTGGTTGTGCTTACTGACCTCGAAGCGATTTTATGTGGTACACGGCGCTCATGGTGATCTGTCAAAATGTTTTAGTTACATTACATTACAGGTACAGCAGTCAGGAGCATCGCAGAGTAAGAGATGACTGACTTATCTGACTGTTTTGTTTTGCTCAATGCGCCTTGTATGCTTTACATATAAAAAAAGATCGGATGCAGAAAATACTGTAACTTAACTCATCAGTGCCAGCTTTGCCAGCTTTTCGCATGTTTACACATGTAATTTGATGATTAATCTTTGGGTTGAGTTCCAACTTAATGAAGGTGTGAAGGCGTTGTTTCCATCACCCTAATCTTTAGTTTCCTCCAAAGATTCTCTATGAGATTCAAGTCAGAAAACTGACTGGGCCACTTCATTGTGTTAGTTTTAGTTCCAGTCAGAGGAAACAAGTTGGTAATAACGATTAGTACTACATCTGTCAGGGATAACAATACCATCTAGAAAATATCTTCATATCATTTAGGTTAGAATATTTCTTCAATTACTTTAAGAGCTTTGTGATGCTAGCACCATGGTTCATACAGCGTTACCTAAAAAACTTGGGAGCAAAACTTTGTTGTTTCCATAAAAATGGCTCTCACAATACGCCGTATGATCCGGATGCTCATGCTGGGTCTATTCTTCCATGACTACAGATTGAGATTCTAAGCATAATTTCTCCTCAGGCACCTGCCGCACTTTGGCGACTGTATGGGGTCGTCTCCGTGGTAACTGGGACTGCTGCAGTGGCTATCAGCCTTGATTGGCTGCCAGCCCCTGAAGTGGAGGGGAAAAAAAAAAAAAAAACAGGTAATCTGGGAGTGAAAAGAGGGCAAGTTGCTGCTGACAGTTTCTGAACAATTGCAAATTAGAGGCGGTGCTGATTGCTGCAAGGAGACTCCCCCCAGCCCCCTCATTTTTTTTCATCTATTTCTTTTTTTTTTTTTTTTAAAGATTTGACATCTGGAACTTTTCTAAGCCCATTGCTGGAGGTAAATGCGGCGGAACAAAACACACGTCTATGCCACATCTAGTGCGTCTAAGTGCCGTCAAATTACTAGTCCAGGGTCTGTATTTTTCTCGGGTTGTTACAGTGCGAAGGCAGGAAATGCAGACAAAAGACTAGTTCTGAGGGGCACTCGGTACCCTTCGAAGAAAAGCAGGCTTTGAATCTGTGCCTATCACAAAGCCAGAGCATATTTGATGTCTGGAGAAAATGGATTACTGAAAGGCCCTTGGATATTCTTATAAATTCTCACCCTTTTCCCTGGGCTTTTATCACCAGCAGCTACCACACACCAGTATGAAAACATTCTACAATGTCCAGGACAATGACAGTCGTTTTGATTACTCACTAATCATATAAAGGCCTTGTTACAGTTTCCAAAGTCCATCTTGTCTTTTTTTTTTTTTTACCACATCAAAGTTCGGTTTGATGCAGCAAAGCCTTAAAAAAAAATCCACTCTCGAGTTTAAAGTTGTCATCTTCTTCAAAGCCAACACAAAAACCTTCCTTTCATCATCCGATGAGAGTTATGCTTCAGATTTTCTGTTCTCTATCATGCTACAAAAAAATCTCTCATCTGCATCCAATGAGAGCAGCACGAGAAAAATTGGATTCTTAATATCGGTTGTAATCTCCATGTGGTCGCCACACCTGCATGAAATATTGTAGTTTTCATGTGATGCAGGTGTAAATATGACAGCAAAAAGGCCTCGCTTCTTTTTTCTTTGTCTTTGACTTTTCTTCGTTTGCTTCGTTTAGCTATCCCATCTACACAAAAGAAAAAAAAAACAACTTGTAGGGATACAAAGCCCTTTGGAAAAGACGGCCCAACAAGCTCCCTGCGACGGTCGCTAGGACAACAGGACGGCCAGCACGAGCATCGTTGCCACGGTGAGGAGGAGGCGATCACGTGACGGGCTGCTGCCGCTCACGCTCTTCTCCAGCTTGGGAACTTCAGGGTTAAATTCATCTGGAAAACAAAAAGCATAGAGAAAAAAATAAATAAAATAAGCAAAACCAGAGGGGAAAAAGCCAGGATGAAATATTGCTGTATTATAAATTAATCAATTTAAAATCGCCGAACGACGCATGCAAATCGGGCTTTCACATATGCAGGGAAAGAGGCATGAAGCGATTATCAACAAACTACCAATTATCATCAGCTACATATGGCCTTTCCCTGTGGGAGAGGAAATTAAAAAAAACAAAGTCGTATTTGATGTGTTTTTTTTTAATGTGTTACTTTTTTCAGGCTAATGATGTTTTTGTCCTCGAGGGATTTCAATCAAATCAAATTACTATGGCCTTAGCATTGATTTGACACAACAGAACATTAGCTGGAGGGGAAAGACGGAGAAAGAGCTCGGGGAACGTGTTTAGGAATATTCAGTAAAAGTGGATTACAGGCTCATCATGCTCATTTCCTAACTAATCCTTCCCATTATCTCTACAATATAAGGCAAACAAACAAGACAGAGCTGATTAAACCATCACAGGTCGTTAGATAAACCTGAGATAAATGTTGCTCAATTATTGAACACAACACAACGTGCAAAAACAAACCACTTACCGAACACAAAATTGCTTTAGATGATTGGTTATGTTTTCGCTTTTTGACACATTTCAAAGTTTCAGATTAGATAACATTTTACATCAAAGATAATCTACAATACTTGAATTGGATTGAGAAGCTCTAGCATGACCTTAAAAAAGTCCAATGTAGCTGAACTGAAACAATTCAGCAAAAAAGAGTTGGTCAAAATAAAATCAATGTGATATACAGCTCCGGAAGAAATTAAGAGACCACTGCAAGATAACCAGTTTCTCTGATTTTACTTTTTGTAGGTATATGTTTTAGTAAAATGAACATTGTTCTTTTATTCTATGAACTACTGACAACTTGTCTCTGAAATTCCGAGCAAACGTTTAGTATTTATTTGCAGAAAAAGAGATGCAGTGCTTTCAGATCTCTAATAATGCAAAGAAAACAAGTTTATAATTATTTAGAAACAACAGTACAAATGTTTTAACTCATTAAGAGTTCAGGAATCAATATTTGATGGAATAACTGTGAGGTTTTCAATGCAGTTCAGTGCAGTGGGCTCTTTGTTTTTCCAGAGCTGTGTATTACTAGATGGTAGTTGCTGTTACCAATTGGAAGGTTTAGAGGCCAATTACTTATTTACATTGGTCCAGGTTAGTTTGGATAGATTTAACCCCTTGATAAATGAATAATCACTGTTTGAAGCTAAATAAGTAATATTAATAAGAGGGTATTTTTCTTTCACAGCACTATAAAAGAAGGAAAGCAAATATGTTTTATTTTAAAAAACAAATGTAAGCTCATAGATGATGTCAGCTTTAGTGAAGCACATCAAAACATATTTAATTTGTTGGGTTTACTTAGATGAGGAGCTGGTATTTATACGACTTCTACAACTACAACTTGAATTTTTAAGGTTAACTTTAACATGCAGTGCTCTGCTTTCTAATGCAGAGCTAGTGTTGTTGTTCCCAGAAATTGCAACCCAAGTAACCATAGATCTCAACATAAATTGTTGGACAGCATCCAAACGCTGCCAGATCAAATGTCGTACATGCAACCTGTGATAAAATCAATATACCTGTGCCAGATAAATCCTCTGTGTTCAGAGAGTAGAACAAGTTGTACAGACAGACAAATAGCTTACATTATAATCCCATCATCACCTTTAATATAATCCAACTGTTATGGAAAATTACGATTACAGTACGCGAGGTAAGATTATTCAATCAATGTTTATGTAATACTCTGTGATGTAAGAAAAGGTTTTAAAAAGAAAAAAAAAAAAAAAAAAAAGCATTGTATTTCACCCAGTGTTCTAGTTTTTATTCTTGGAAAAATGCAAGGATAAAATTGCTGATCGGATCAACTCAAAATAACAAAAACAAAAACAAAAAAAATCCGATTTCTGTTGATCTAAACCAGAACAAAAAGATTCATCTTGCCACACTGATGTTATAAAAGTTCAACCAAACAAACTGTTTTTCAGCATCTGTCAGTCTGCGAGTAAAAACATGCAAGATGATGAGCGATAAGGAGGAACAACAACCAGGCTGCCTGGAAAGCTGAGATAAACGGGTTTGACGTAGATTTCTCTTTTGTTCCTAAAGAACAACATGCGTCTGTCTTTACGTCCAACACTGATATTTACGTGAATCCACAGCAACATCATCTATCGTGACATCGCTATGTGAAAGCTGGACAGGGAATCCAAAGCAGCACAGCCTCGGGTGAAGTCTACAGGTCACATCAGGGATGCTCTGGAGGCGTGACGTACATCCGTAGAACCAGAAGAACATTTGGTCCCTGCAGAAGATGAACGGCCTGACATGGAACGCCCTCTGGTCAAAACGTTATCCCCAAAATAAATGATTTTGCTCTTTCTTTATGCCTTATTTTTTGAGTTAATACTGTGTTCATGTCTCCTGGGGTTTATTAAATGATGCAGATGCCAGCGTCTCTTAGCCGTTCTTTAAAACAGAAAGATATCTTGCATCTTGCAAATTGAGCCAGATGTTAAGGGAGCTAAAGAGATTTCTGCAAAAACTGCAGCAAGAAGTGGCAGCTTGGAGTCTCCTGATCGCCATAGCAACCATTTGATCCATCTATATACCAAACTAATAAGATCCTTTTCTGTGATAGCGACATAAAAGGTTTTCTGAACTCTACTCCGCCTCAGATGAGACAAAGTCTGAGCTCTTAAGTAGAAAATATACCAGGTGGGTTCGTGGTAAATAGGACGAACAGCAGGAAAAACATGTCAAATTTACATGTTGGTGCGGTGAGCCCCTTTCCAAACATCCTGGAAACCCTGACATGGTATCAGGTACTTTATCTGGAATAATGGGCAGTTTAAATATTTGATGACCTCTGTCAGAAAACTAAATATTAATTGCGTATGGATCTTTCTGCAAGACAATAATCTAAAAACATTAGGCCAAATCGACACACAAATAGTTCGACAGTAACAATAAATCAGCCTTTTTCTATTGACCTCCCAATCCCAAGACCAAAGTCCAACAGGAAATTTCGCCTGTAAGTCCAAGAGAGGCAAACAGTCTTTCAAAATAGCCGTCACTGTGTGGCTGAAAAGCGTAAAACGTTTAATAAAATGTTGTGTTATTGTAAATAGTGTTATTAGTTAATTTATTTTGAAATGTCTAGTATCTGTCGTGACATCTTCAATGACTAGTCATTGGTTAATCAAGTGCCACTGTGTAATGGTATTGTAAAAGAGAAATCCCAGTGCAACATCATGACTTCAAAGAACGCAGCGCCACTAAAAACACAAATCTCATTGTGTTCAAAAACTCAAGTCCTTTGCAGTCCTAATGGGATCTGATTTCAGTCAAAACAACCAAATACGTTATGAATTATTACAAGTCGAAGCATGTTCGTACAAAACATCCGAACTAGCTCTTAGAAGCTTGTTTACAGGCTCCAGTAACTTGGACACACTGCAGAGTAAACATCTCGTCTAAAACCCTCGTCTTTCAAGAAATCTTGCAACTGAAGACGACTGTGGGGGAGGCCGAACGCCTCAGGGCTGCTGCAACTTATCAAAGGTCTCCAGTATGGCACCTGTCTCCACGGTCCAAATTTAGGATCCAGGAATCAATTTCCGGCTGCATTTTTGCCTCCGCGAGGCCCAACAGCACAACGGGAGGCTGGCAGAACGGCTCCTGTGTCCACAGAAAAAACACCCGAGGCGTTTCCGGCGAGATGAGAAACATCAACTCCGGACTGTCGATAGGTGGGGAAAGGTTGTCTGGGTGGATAAATCTTCCTGCCAACGACAGCATGAAGAGACGCACATCTACATCTGGATGGGGATAAAATACACAGTATCTCTGAGAGTTAACTACTTTCAGTTACTCCTGATTTTTTTTTTTATTTCAAATAACACCCACATTCAAGAAGTTCAGCCAAAAGCTTATTGTTTCATTTCAGAAAGACTTTGATTAAGCTGTGGATTTTAAACAGGCTTTCAGAATGACTGAGTGCTTGGTCAGTGCATTGTTGAGACCGCAGTCTATTTATTTTATTGTTATTGCAATCTGTGACACTTAGACACTTGGTTTATTCAGTTCAGAGACCACATGTCTATTATTTGGCTGTTACAACAGCAGAGGCGGAGCGCCACCGCTGCAGGGTTCACAGAGTTTAGAGATAAAGACGGATTCAATCCTTTTTTTTTTTTTACACTTTTTGAGAAATTCTGCACATTAGTAGGCTGACAGGGCTAAACTGCCCATTTTCATCAAATCACAAGCCACTTGTTGCTTGTGGAAAGTTTGTAGCAGATGAACGAATAGACGAAGAGACAAGATGCTTTAGGAAAACAAAAACAAGAGCTGTGAAAGTGTTACTTCTTCTTTGCTTGTTTAGTCACACTTAGATGATCCTCAAACATAATTTAATATCAGAGATAACCGGAGTAGCTACTTCATGTTGTTATACAAATGCTATTTAGGTGATTCATTGACACTAAATGTGAGAAATTAGGCCTGAGTTTGGCGAATAAAACTGAACTAAAAAAGAAAAAATAAATAAGAGCCCACTTTAAATTATCAGTTTCTCTGATTTTACTTTTTATAGGTCTATATTTGAGAAAAATGAACATTGTCCTATGAACTACTGACAACATGCCTCTGAAGTTTCAAGCACTTATTTAGTACTTATTAGCAGAAAATGAAAAATGGTCAAAATTACAAAAAAGATGCAGCGTTTCCAGACCTCAAATAATGCACAGAAAACAAGTTCATAATCATTTAGAAACAACAATACTAATGTTTCAACTCAGAAAGAGTTCAGAAACCAATATTTGGTGGAACAACCAGGAGGTTTTCAACTGACTTTTTCCAGAGCCGCGTTTTTCTCTTTCAAGATTTAACGCAGTTAGTAGATTGGTTTTCCCTTAACAAACTACATCAAAAATTGAAAACATTTTTCTCACAGTTTGTCTTTATCCGATATAAAAGTTTGCTTGGGGATAATTCCAATGTGATAAAAATAGATTAAACTGAAAGAGGAACACTGTAGATAATTAAATCAACAATAAAGAATCACTGCTGCTTTCTCGTCTGTAAGATGGTCAGCAATAACACACTGCCCCTATTCATAAATAGCATCGTAAACAAGCCAAAAGAATTGAGTTGCAGAGAGTAAAATAGCAAATCCAATTACTTCATAGTTCATCAATCATTTCGGTGGGTTGCGCTGTGCACTGGACCAAGCAACATTAATTGCAGAGATGTGGAAATTCTTTCTTAATAGGGCAACAGCGAGCAAATTAGACAAGATGACAGACGGAAAACAAATAGTGGCCTTGTTCCTGAAAGTGATTTGTAAGTGCTGCTCTCATGCAGACTGCAAATGGCCCTAGTTTCTGGAGAAACGACTGATTAAGTGTGATGAATGTTTACAGCGGACTGTCTGAGAAGTAGTTAGTTGTTCTCCCTTACTTTTCTCGCCCAGGTTAGTTAGGCTGACTGTGAAATTTCTCTCTGCAGAGGATGCATTTAACTTTTGCTTGTTTTCCCCTTTCATGGTTTTCTGCATGTAAAAATCTGCAAAGAAGCTGAACTAAAACTTTTAAATCTGGGACATGTTACCAATGTTAAAATGTAACCACCATATACTCCATCCTGAGTGTCTCCATTTGGAGTGATGATTGAAACTCCTCCAGTTAGTTTAGCATAATTTGCTAGAAATAAGCCTCGTGTTATCATACAAGCAGAACGCAGAGATTGTACCCTGGTAACAGAGCAGTGTTATCCTTAAAACGCTGAGTTAAATAAGGAAAATGTGACGCAGAAGGTTAGATAATTTAAGAAAAAAAAAAAAGATGGCAGAAGGGCAAACATATGCGATGGAGAAACGTTGACGCTGAGCCAGTCTGTGGGCTGGTCTGGACCTGAGGCTGAATCAGAGAGTGGGAGTCCAGCGGTCAGTGGAGCCACCGGGGGCCGTGTTGTAAAGCGAGTGAGAGTCTGTGCGTGTGCATCAATGTGTATCCTCCTCCAAATGTATTCAACAGAATGCATCACAGCACTGGAGGCTGTCATATTTTATTATTTCCTGCCAGCGAGTGTGTGTGTGTGTTTTATATTAAATTCTATGCAAGCTGGAGCCGGTGTTACCACTGAGCAAGTCGTCCACCACTGAATTTCTCTTTTACTACGTTCCTTCCTTCCCTCTACACTCTGTTTTTCTTCACCTCCCTTATCAGTTTTATTTTTTGTTCCTCGTCTGTCCGTTTTGCTTTACTGCTGCATTTCTCTCTGTCATCTTTTATCTCGCCGACTTCCTCTTCTCCCTTTAACTGTGAATCCTCGTATTCTCTCGGCTCGAGCTTTTCTTTTCTTTCTTCCATTTTTTTTTTTTTTTTTTGTTGGTTTTTTTTGGTCATGGTTTCCATCTCAGGCGGGTCACATTCTCTCAGACCTTGTCACAGACTGCCACAGTGACCAGAAAAAAGCTTAGTAAATGATTCCCAGCAAAAGGCTTTTGTTTGAGGTGGTGATGGGAAAAGACAAAGGAAAATACAGGGTTTACGTAACCGTTTGACTGAACAACTCACTTGTTCTCTGACATTTGCTCTCCTAAGGTAAACACAAACCTTTAGTTTACTTGTAAGACCTCAATTTTCTTTGTGGAGTTTTTGTACGTAGGAAGAAAAAGCAGCTGAAATGGTTTTCTGAAATAACCTCAGTCGATCTTAATGCCTTTGGGCCTGACGGATTCAAACAATGAACTCATCCCGACTTATTTTAATGGTTCTTTGGGGGCATTTGCATCACCGTGCAAAGATTTTCTTCCATATAGTCCCTAAGTAATCGTTCTGTATGCCTCGCTGTGCTGCTCATTAGGCTCATTCTCATGTAAGTTAATGTGAGGTCATGAAATTTTGTGTCGCATTCTGACTGGATTAATGCAGCTGATGGAGGAAATAATTAATCTTACAATGACAATGATAAATGAACAGTGTAATAAGGTCAAGCAATGAGGCTAATTCTGTTTCAGAGGTTTGGCTCAGTCCAGCCCCATCATTTATTGCAATTATTATGTTAACACCTCCAATATAAATGATTGCTGGCTATAACTCCAGAAATGTAGACTTACTGTATGCCGCTATGCGACCTTGATTCAAAAAATGTCTGTTTACCCCAAATAATGAATGCAAAAACTTAATCCAAGTTTCTAAAGCCAAAGTTTCCACCTCTCAGGAAACATTTTGATTAACAAATACAATTAGACATGTAATAATACTCACTTAATGAAAAACACAATGCAGTTACATTTTGTGACATTAGTCTGAAAGATCCTATATGATCCTCTAACTTTTCCACAACACTCCAATCATAATGTCTGCACCACTTTACCCAAACTTGGTCACTAAATCTATAGTGCAAAAAAGATGGTTAAACGTAGTCTGGTAGAATATTTTGGCTTAGGGTGAATTTATTTTGGCATTCTGATTTGTTACATTTATCTCAACCTGTAAAATAAAAATAAAAAAATAAAACAGTGTGTGAATCCCTGCTCACTCCAGAATGATCCAACTAAAGTCTGAACAGCCTAAATATTTTAGATTTTTAGAAAAAGATTACCAACAACTGTTCAAATTATTTAAAAAAAATTGTAAAATAGTGCTGTGATTCAGAGACAAATTTTAATGTTATGAAAAATTCATGATATTGCTTTTGAATTTTGTTTAAAATACACATCGGTAATTACAATTTCAATTCAAAAATATGCTATTGACCCCAAAGGGAAATTAAATGTTGTTGTAGCTTATTTAATTGAAGAGTTATTGTACATGATGGCTGTGGGAAGAAAGGATCTCCTGCAGCATACAACACATTTAAACAAGCCTCTGACCAAAGACATGACAGTTTCACGAAGAGGATGCTCATAATTTCCTTCATTCAAATGAGCGCCGCATACTCGACTGACTGGACATGAACAACATAAAACTCAGTTGGTGCTCAGGTGCCCCGTGGCAGAATGGTGCCCTGAGAGGAGAGCCAACCATTCATATCAAAAGCCTCTAATTAAAATGTGTGCAAATCAAAAGACCTAAATAGCCCAAAAAAAAAATTAGGAAGATGTTCCACCACTTTTGTCTAAATTAAAGCATATTAAAAAAACACCATTAAATAATAGGAGCATTTTCAAGTATTTTAAATATCTGCAGGAATCTGACTCCATTTATTTTAGAGGTTTTATGGAAGCAATGTTGGAAAATATGAGTAAGGACTTGCAGTCCAGCTCTAAGCTCTAGCAGTTGTAAAAAAACAAAACAAAAAAAAAACTCATGTTTTCATGGATCGTCTTCAGCAAATCACAAATAAGAAAATAAACAACTCAACATTTTTCCACAAACTGAGATGGATATCAACCTGCCAGTATGGATTTTTTTCTCGTTTTTGTGTCGACTAGCCACTTACCAATGTTGTGTATTTTGATGTTCGGCCTGACTGTGTAGTCGGGAGAAGTTTGACTGGAGTCGTCTTCTGCCTGAGAGGCTGAGGAACGCAGCAGAGACAGACAGATGGAGAGAGAAGGGAAAAGAAAAACGGAGGAGAAAACAATTATGGGAGAGACATACACACACATACACACACAGAGAGAAAGAGAAAAGTGAGATTTGCAGCATGATCAATCTGCGCACTTTAATCGGTCAGGTTGGTGGAGTTAAAGTGGATTGGAGAAACAGTTAAGAAATTGTGGACAGTAAATCCAGACTGCGCCTGGAGGATTTAAAGAATTTATTTAGGCAGTGCAGGACAAAAAACATTACTTTGACTGTGTGTCTAGACTTGGAATTAAATCCAGTTTGCTTTTTGAATGGGTGACATGTGGGTTTGCTAATGTGGGCATGAATGGATTAACAGAGAGCAGCAGTACAAGTGTACCGGCGTACGCAGGGACAAAAATAGCAGCAGTATGCTCTACTTTGCACAGCAACGTCTATAATTCTGACAAGAAACGAAAAATAAAGGAAGGCAGTTTGTGATAATAAAGCAGTGACCAAGGTAGTGTGGTACACCAAGGAAAACTGAGCAGAAGCAGTGCCGACTGTAAATGATGGAAAGCCTTTAATCCACAAAGTTGATGGAAATGTAAGAATATTTCAGCTGAAATTGTTGCAGGTTGCCGCAACTTGGCTAAGAAATAACCAAGCTTAAATGTATGCTGGGCTGTTTCTCAGCTGAGAAAACCTCTGAAGGTGAAGACCTTCCCCACTGAGCTCCTCCAGACTAGCGGCAGCAGCAACCAGCAAACACCGGTGGAACTGCACAGTAATTCACTCATATGAACTACAAAGATCCAAAGAACGACTGTAAACAGCATCAGTGGCGGCATGGAGAAACATTGTGACTGAGTGTCAGAAAGAGTAGGAGGTTCTTAAAGAGACAGAGCCCAATTTCAAGGTGTCAGATTTATTTCAAGTTGTTTTTGATATGTACAACAATTGGAGGTCACATAGTTATTTGATTGTGGTATAAAATTATATCATATGCCTGGAAAATACATAATACCCCCTTTAGCGGGTGTTGATAGTTTAGAGTAGTTGAAGAAAGGCTCTTTTCTCTAAAAATAAAACGCTTGTGAACTCTTTTGAATACGACAGTCTAATGTGAAGACATCTGTCCAGCAGCTGACGTCTGACTGCAACTAGGTCATAAAAAACACAATGTTCAAATACACAGCAGCAAACCTACAACAAACTCTCCAAACACCGGACGTCCTTTCAAATAATTAATTATAACTTTAATTTAAGGCCTGCGCTACATGTAAAATTTAAGCTTCCCTTAATAAATACTGAATAATATTTCACCTGCTAAATATTATAAGCAAAGTAAATAAAGCTTTGTTAAATTACAATTATGTCTTAAAACACTGGTAGTGTTTAAAGACCATTTTCTGCTCATACGGTGAGCCTTCTAATTGCTGCTGCTGATGGGGTTTAGTCAACATATCAACATTGTTAAACGTCAACTATGCTGCAACAAAAGAGCCGAGTGTGAATTATGTAACCAGAACATTTGAGTTTCTTTTCTTGAACAATCAAAAGCCAGTTTCAGAACCAGAGAAAAACACTGATGAAGGAAGTAATTTAGCAAACACACAAAATTTAAGACATAACTGACTGTATTTAAGATGTAATATGGAAAGTCTGCATAGATTTAGGACTCTACAAGACACTGCAGAAACCCTGGTATTGAACTGAGAAAGAAAAAAAAAATTATTAGAATTAATATTTTTTCGCTGAAAAAATCAAACTTAAACAACAGCATTCAATCAATCAATAAATCAAATTTTATTTGTATAGCACATTTCAGCAGCAAGGCAGTTCAAAGTGCTTTACATAATTAAAATAAAAACAGCATGTGAGAAAGAGATTTAAAAAACATCATTAAAACATAAACAGTGAGAAAGAGAAATAAAAAGCTGTATAACTTTATTGACTTGAAACTTTATAGCATTGAAATTATTGTCTTGTTTAGGCCATTTGCTAAATGACGCCATTGTTTTTTGGAGTCTAGAAAACGAGCCAGATCTAAAACGGCCCGACACCTAGCAACCCCAGCAAAGCCCAGCCCGTCACCTAGCAACCCCAGCAAAGCCCAGCCCGTCACCTAGCAACCCCAGCAGATCTCCTGCATGTTTGTTCAGTTGGTTTTACCACTGTATTCACTGTACAATGGCTGCTGGAAAAGACAAGTGTTTTGCTGTTGGTTTATCATTCATAAACTACTTGCTTCATTCTTGTTGGTTGAGCAGGAGGCTCTACTTCTGCTTTTCAAAGATGCATGGTTGTATAATTGGGCATCTGTTTGCAGCCATTTTCACGTGTGAGTGTTAACGCCGAGCTGGGGAGCGTGGCCAGCTGCAGCTTATGTAAAGTTCTGAAATCAGCTCAAAATAGGCAGAACAGAGCAGACTAAAATATCATTATCTAAGAATGATTTTGTGCAAAAAAAAAAAAAAAAAAATTATGAACATGCTTTGTTCTATCCTAACTTATTTGAGGAAGTTAATTCAATTAAATGGGTCCAGCATATTACGTCCTACTATGTACGACTTTGGAATAAAAATAGTTTTTCCCTCTTTTCCCTGTGACTTGTTTCCTGTTGATGATGCACAGACAGAAGCAACGCTTTGCATTAGCCAAGTCATCATTATTCTCCCCTCTGTCTCATCTTGAAGCCTTGTTCTGTCAGGGTTAAAGCAGGCGACAAAAGAGAACGAAGGGCAGCTGAAGTCAATAACACTTCTGATAGCGAGCTGTAAAAATGACAGGATGTCATGAACCCTTCAATGCATGTGCACACATCAGACAAATTGACGGCAGAAATGTGCAGGCAGACATGAAACTCCCTCGAACGCTTTAGCACAACAACACAGATGCAAATGGAGGTGCATCAACAGATTGGCAGCGACACTGGGGTGTGTTAAGGTGATCTGTACATGGGGAATGACACTGGCCTCAGAGTGGGATGTATTAGTGCTGACAAGGTTAGAGGAGAGGAGGGGCGGAGGGGGGCTTTCTGTACCACGCTGCCTGATCAAAGGCCTGCAGGGGAGAGCGCAGACTACCAGGGTAAAAATAACACACACACTATATAGAGCAGCAGGGATCAGAGAGGAAGAAAGAGAGACGGGGAGATAGGTGGAGGGGGTGGTCAAGAAGAAAGCTGAGGAAGGGGAGTGACAGACGGAGGGGAGGGCAGAGAGATCTGAATCTCACAGTTGAATGTATTTTTTTTTTCCTTCTCTCTACGTCTTTTGTAGATCTTCACGAGAGCATGTCAGTCACAGAATGAGCTGGAGCATTACTGTAATAGCACAGAGACAGAATAACATCAGGCTGCCATGCTCAAAGAGCTGCTTTGAGGGAGAAAACTGCATCATCAAAACCAGACGAAGCTCCCTCTGTCCCTCTTCCTGAGACACAACTCTTAGATCTTCTTGATTTCGTTCACTGTCTGCAGCTCTCCGTCTCTTTGCTTCCCTGTTTGTGGAACAAAATAACAGACACGAGCAGAGTCGTCTCACCAGTGGAGCAGCAGACGAAGACCCTCAGTCTCAGGCAGCTGTGGCCGTGGTGGTGGATGGGTGTGGCTAAAACAGAGAACAAACGTACATAAAATGTCAACATTGTGCCCTCTGCAGGCCACATCGTTCTTACGGCCCTGTCCATAGCTGCTTCAGAGTTACCACGGTCCTACTGGCTGGTTCCCTGGTAAATCCTTGTTCCACCTTTCAGCTTGGGTGGACGGTCATGTCTTGGTAGATTTGCAGTTGTGCCATACTCTTCATCTTCAAATGATGGATTGAATAGAGCCCTTCAGAGCTTTTGTTTTGTTTCATAATGCAATCCTGCAATTAACTTCTCCACAACTTTATCCTCGGGCTGCCTGGTAAGTTTTTTTTTGTTTTCATGATGCTGTTTTTATCCACTAATGTTCTTTATCAAACCCCGTAGGCCTTCAAAAAGCAGTTGTAATTATACTGATATTAAATTACACACAACCGCACTCTGTTTACTGACTACAACTTCTGAAGGAAAATGGAAAATGGTAAATAGACATTGAATAGTCATTCACCCTTTCATGCACACACTCACACGGAAATGGTGGCAAGTTATACTGAACTTCACCTGCATTCAGCTGTACCAGAACATTTATCTTTTATTTTCCTCCCACTTCACAAATCTACACTCCTTGTGATGATCTAGCACATAAATTCCCACTAAAATAAATTAAAGTTGTGGTTCTAATGAGACAAAATCTGACAAATTTCAAGGTTCAGTACACAAACTATACAAACTGCAGCACCAGGAAACTCAATGTCCTCAGCTGAACTTCGACAATCTATTATCAAAACCCACACGGCATCAATACACGTGGGCGAAGAAACGCTCTAAATTACGGCCTCGGATCACAATATTGGCTGTGCAGCACCCTCAGGCCTTTTCCATCCATCACAATGAGCCGGTGACTCACAGATGTAGTAGTACTCCTGGCCCACGGTGAACTCGTAGCCCAGCGAGAAGGCGCTGTATCGCTGGAACTTCTCAGAGAACTTGATGGGCGTATGCGGTGCATGGGGCCGGTTGCACTCCCAGCGTTTGACACCCATCTGGGGGTTGCAGGTGTAGTAGCCCCGGTAGTTCACCATGTAGAGGATGTACTGCTCGGCCACCACGCGCTCCAGGGTTCCACGCTGGCTGGTGTTGTAGTGCGGGCAGTAGATGTCCAGGTAGTCGTTGACGCTGACTTGCACGGTGTATCCCTCTCTCCGAAGCCTGGAAATTAAAACACAGACACGGATCAGGATGAGAAGCTGCCGCTAATGAAAATTCGTTATGCATTTCAGAAGAACGTTTGGCTGGGAAATGACAAAATGTCCGAGGCTGTATTCACACCACTCCTGCTTAGTCTGCTTTAATCAAACTCCAGTTTGTTTGGGAAGGCGTGGATGTGCAATCGACAGCGCCACCACAGGAGAAGGAGGAGGTTTTCGTTTGACACTAGCTCAATTTCCAGTACAAATGTGTGCAAAACTTTGTTGATATTCCATTAAAGTTGGGAAAACACAATTTCACAACTGTGGAGTTTCCATTAATTAAGATCACGAATAAGTTCTTTCTCATGATAAGTAATTAAAACCATACAAGGCCATCATGCTCCTGTCACCTTTCATTGTCTTTTTCATCTTTTGGTAATAACATCCAGTTGCTCATCACATAACTCGTGTGGTGCAAAAAGTGTTTCCATTGCAGTGTTGGATGA